GGGCGGTGGATGCGGGGCTGGGCGCTGCTGCCGCAGAGGTGCCGGGCAGAGCAGAGCTTGTGGAGTTCCCAGTGCGGGGCGTTCCTGGGAACCCCGTACACACTTCTATTGCAGCTGGGCATGGAAGGCCATGCTCTGTCCCTTAGGCTAGCATGGGCCTGCCACCCAACGGCTGGGGTCTTGCCCAAGGCCTGGTGCCATCCTGCTGCAAGTGTCCCCACGCCAGGGAGGGGGTCTCCAGCCTCAACTTAGGGCATTCCCCACCATGAGTGGCGGGGCAGGCCCAGGCTCAGCCTATCAGCACAGCCAAGGGAACCGCAACTCTCCACCTCAAGCCACCCATCACCTCTACCTCTGGCACTGTCTCCTCACAGAAGGGGAAAAACTGTCCCTGGGGAATGCACCGGGAGAAGTGCGATCTGAACAGCGCTGTCTTGGTTGTGAGGGAAGGAGAAAGAAGTGAAAATGAAGAAACTTGACTGGAAAACCAGGCAGGTAGATTGTGATTGTGACAAGGAGCAGCCCCAGCTGTAGTTGCAGTCATGCAGTTTACAGCAGGATTAGAGAGTGCCCTGACGCTCAAAGGTGCTGCTGAAGCAAGCATGATGTTCTTGTCTTTCTCAGCAAACTTCCCTTCCGTGCTGCAGACGTGGTTTCCCCACGTGGATTTACGTTTCTCAAAAATGGTTTGTACAAAATGTTTTTCCAATATAACTGTCAGGACTGAGAAAATGAGCTGCGGAAGCCATAATGGCGATAGCTCCCAGCCCGCTGCGTGTAGGTGATGTATCAGTGGTTCCTCCAGCACTGTCCACAGCCGAACTGCTCCGTGCTGTGCATCGAGGCCTCACACAGCTGTGCTGAGTGTTGCACATGGAATATACGCACCCGCATGCTTTCGCTAGATCATGCCCTTAATTTGTGTAGCAGAAATGCATTAATGTCCTTCCTGGTTTCTCCTCACAACCACAGATGAGGATGCTCAATTTTCTCTTTGCCTTGTGTAACTCCCATCTGTATTGAGACAAAATACACTCTTGCACTGAGAGGTGAGTAAGCACTGAGTGTAGGTGTGGTAATATGTTAGCAGTTGCTGTGCTTTTGACCGTAAGTATACATAGATTCACTCACTTCAAATAGAATTTCACAGGGATGATAGCAACCTTTTTCTCTCCTACAGTAAAAAGTATCTAAGCATTCAAAGCCCATCTAGAACAAGACACATTGGGAAATTTGAGAACTTGGGGCCTTTAGATTACTGCTTGTCTAGGAGTTGACTATCTGTGGGTGAAATTGATTTAGAAATAATATTCTCAGTAGCAAATGTGGGAAGTTAGATTATGTGACTAAGTTGTATGATCTTTTTTAACCATCTAGCGAAAAAACTTGCATGATACCTCAACTGTTGAGGCAGTTTGGAGGCATTTTTTAA